TATATAGATTTTCTGTAAATATTAAGTGAAACTGCTAAGAATTAAGACTTTATCCTTAAAGCATACCCCTTTAATTGAGCAGACCACAAGAAGTGCTGTCATTTTCTTGCCTAGATTGCAGTTGTGATATATATATTTGCATATATATACATGAACATAAATGTAATTTGATCTCCTCCTAGTTCAAAAACTCTGGAAATCATAAAATGTTCTATTCTATGGTTTATTCTGATGGTTAAATGCCAACCATTGCATGTATTCTCTCTTTCAGGTCATATACTGTAGCTTGTTTTTAAGTTACTATAGCATACTTAAGGCCTACGCCTGTGGTACATAATTTCACAGTTTCAAAATTGAGGGGAAGACCTTCCATGATTTAGGAAGTTCTGAACTCAATGAAAAACTCATGAGCACCCACACCGGTCTACTACCATGGCTGGAATTTTTCCATATATTATCTGTTCTTTGCCATTAAAATATAGCATATTAATGGGAGACATTTTTGTAGGAGTGCAGCAAGGACCTGCTGAGCCTCTGGGGTTTGCTTGGTGCACAAGATGAGTATGGGGATATTTTTGTAAAAACACAAATTCACACTCTCCGGAGCAGTAATTGGCTTTATATCTTTTGGGTGCAATGATCCAATCCCATCCAAATGCTTCAAAATCCACTGTAAGGGGGTAGCGGCAGCATCGAGATTCTGTGGAGTGCTCATCACAGTCAAGACCAAAGTCTCTTCGGGACCTTTTGGGTGTGTCTGTTACTTTGACCTCTAGAAAGGGATTCTGTGTAAAGAGGAAAGAGCAATTGTATTATCAAAGCCAAAGATCTTTCCCACCTGAAAAATCATCTCTACAGAAAACATCATTCTTATGCTACTTATCTTTTTAAGAAGTGCGATATGAAGGAATTTTTATTCACACTAGGCTTCATTTTTCCTCTCATATCCACAAGAATGTAATAGCAGTAGACATTTCCCTGTGGTCAGTTCACTCTGTCTTTTAAACTTTTGCTTCTTTTCATCTCATTATTAGACAATAATAGATGCTTTGAAAGAGAAGGGAGGGTGGGGGAAGGTGGGAGGCCATCTTTTCATCACTGTTGATTACTCATCAGCTCCATGTATCTCACGACTCTAGAAGAGATGAGTACCCATCTGTCTTTCTTCCCTAGATCTCTTCTCAAAGAAATGTGCACATTACAGTCAGAGAAAAACAGCCACCTCCGAGTTTTATGTGGATCAGAATGGGAGGAAGGAAGTCAGGGTGACAGCAGGAGCTGCACATACATTGTGTTGAAAGAAAATCCTAAAGGAGCATAGAGGACATTGATGGGAAGTGATGACCTGGGTACCAATGTAGCTTGGTGGAAGAGGGTTTGCCTCTCATGTGTAAGGTGCTGGGTTCAATCCCAGGGTCCCAGCAGAAGGAGACAGAGAAGGAGGGAGGGAAGAAGAATCATCTGGCTGTGACAGCCTCAGTCTTCCAGAACATTTGAGACCATTTCCTTTTAGAGAGAAAACTCTAAGGAATATCGTATTAACCATCCTTTAAATAATTAAAACCTAACCCATTAAGCAACCTTGATAATTTAAATACTATCTGTGAAAGAGCACAGTTTTGTCTTATATCATGAAATCAGTCCTAAGTATTGTCAAAGAGAACATCGTTTAAGGAATATATGATAAAGAAAATAGATAGATCACCGAGGAAGCTGTAGTACTTCAAACAATTACATTTCACTCACAAATAGATCTGATTTCTGGATTACATATTCCTGAGTTCAAAGGATTAAAAAGATAACTATGTTTATTTTTTCTAAATATAATATTTTGATGCAAATTCTGACAAGGGATGAAAATAAAAATATGTTCATTAAGTTTTTGAAAGCAGAAGTAAATAAAAGCCTCAGTAAAGCATAATAGTAACTAGGGTTTAAGTGGGAATTAAATTGTTTTATTAATTTTCATAGTGTGTGAGGTCTTGTTTATATCATTGAATTGCTATTGAATTCCTATGTAAATCATTGTTAATGGTGCTAAAGTAGTTCAGAAATAAGCTAATAGTCAAGGTTAGCTAGAATGGAAATTACAGTTTTATTAACACTATTCTAAGTAACCTATATGCATATCATGACTTCAACATTCTGTAAGTACTGAACATATTTATTAGGGGATACTAAGTACAATATATTAATCAAATATATCTATACAGATAAATGTATTTTAATTAGAATTTTTATATTTTTTTACTTTATGTGAATCCAACATTTTTCAATGTATTGAGAAGCAAAAAACAGCATGGGAAAAAGTTTTAATTTGTTGGGTAGATATTGGAATCTGCAGTTATATAGTGAGTCATAATTTTATGCATATATTATGTAACCTACAATAAAAAGAAGATAACATCCCATTCCCAATAAGGAACTCCTTATGAAATTGTGAACCATGATGCAATTGTTTTTCAGTCTTCATGCATAGTAACAGCATCAAGGGAGTGCTTCACAGGACATGTGATTGGCACCTACTCTTTTTGGGCACAGACCAATTGGTGTAAGATAATTTTGTCTGGTTTGCGAACATAGAATATAGTAGTAGCTATTTTTCACTATTATTCTTCATATGAGGAATAAAAATATAACATATTATTAGAACATTATTTTCAATTATCACTTACCAGCCCATCTTCCCCTGGTCCCGGGAAGGTTACAGCAAGATCATGGCCATTCTCATCCAAAGCTTTGATTTCAATGCCTAAGTTGGATTCAGGTTGTTTGAGCCAATTTTGCAACACTGTCTTCACATCAATACTCTGCCAAATGCCAGTGCCTGGGCTCATGTCGAGTTTCAGAGATCGGATTCCAGTGTACCTTGTACCGTCTTTCATGGGTTTGATGAGCCTCAGAATCTGCACAAACACTGTTGTGGGAGTCTTGACTGGTCTCAGATGGATCCACAGCTGGGCTTTCACTACTTTGTTGTACTGGATTTTAGAGCTAAATTTAAAAAAGCAACATTTGGGTTTTCCATCCACTTGCATTAGAAAATCAGCTACAAATGAATAAGAAAAGAATGATTGACATTAGGTCCCATCAAAACATGAATAAAAATCACTCCTTAATAATAGATGCTGGGATAATGTGTACACATGTGGTCTTTCAAAATAAAATACTACGTAGAACTTCATTCATGATTCAGAAGAAATGTCAGAAAATAATTGCTTGTCAGTTTTCTTAGACATCTGTATTTTCACCTATTTATCAGGGATCTACTGCCTTCTAGAGAACTATGGGCTAGGGGATATTTTGTGAAAGAATGAGCAGTGGATTAAATTTGCGAACGTTGATGATTAGGGAGAACAAGAGACAGCGTGGAGGAACGTCCACTTAGAATTCCTTGGGAATTTGAGTAGTTACGCTCACAGAGCAGCTGTACCAGTCAGTCTGGAGGAAGGAACCCTTCCCCCAGGCCTCAATTACCTGGGGACTGAGCCTCCGAAATGACAGAAAATAGAGTGCGTCTGTAACACTTGGACTCTGCAATAGCCTTTCAAAGGGACAACATGAAGTCAGTAATTAGCACAAAAACTCAAGATGTCATGCTCAAGCTATCTCAAAAGTCAGAAAGCAGTGGCCTTGGAGGCAGGCTTTCACTGCAAGTTCAGCACACTAACAACTACGTTTCTTTTGGGTTTTCCAAACCACATGTAAATAGGGAAGCCTTCTCCTGAACTGTTTGATCCAAGAGTCATAAATGAAAATTATTTGCTGTGTTGTAGCCTGGTTTCTTAGTGAAGGACTGGCTTGAAACTGTGTCATGTCTGGTTTTAAGTGTTTAAAGCGTGGTATTAAAGCAAGATCTCAGACACATGGCATAGAACTCTTGCGTGTCCTCCAGCTCTGTCAAGCCACCTGTCTTCATTTTGAGAGTACTGAAGCTGGGACTGCCTGAAATGGACTAGCTCCCAGAAGCAGTGCTGTTCTTACGGGTAGCAGTCCTCCCCTCACAGGGAATAAAATATTCTTATCAGCCACTGTTGCTGTACACGGCCAGGGCAGTCTCAGCACTGGGCTGTGGGCACAGCACAAGCAGGCATTTATAGCATAACCTCCCGATTATAACGCTCATTTCCTGAACGTTTTCCAATACTAGGTCATGAGTATCATTTTGCTGCGTCTGCTTCACCGTTACTCTTGCTAATGCATTGAATATTTATCTTCTTTAACTCTCCAGTGTAACAGCTTTCCCAATTAAGTATTTCACAAAGGCTCTCAACTGACAGTTTTAAATAACACACTTGTGTAGAACAGTGTTCAAATAAACACTCAGCAAATTTCTTCCTCTAGTGTTAGTGGGGGAAAAATGAATGCATATTTAGGCAAACAGATGCAATGGTAAATTTCACATAAGTTTTAACAATGCTTATAGAATCTCACAGTCCTTCCCTTCCTAGTGTTAGGCACTGAACACATAAGCATTCTGCATTTTCCATATAAAATTACATACTACTGAAGCTGAGCCGGCACATTAACTTTGAGCTATTTGGCACCAAAAGGAAACAAGCAAGGCAGATTTCATTGTCAGTATGTTTCTTAGGAAATCGTGAAGAGGGAAAAAAATCTCTTTTCTCTCTTACTTACATACAAGCCAACAGCTTGTTAAAAGCCTGAAAATAGATCTGTTTCTCATAAACACTAGGGCAGCCGTCAGCAGAACTGTTGATATACTCTAAGAGAGCTACTTACACTCTGTAGGCATGGTAATGATTGTTTCCGTCGTAGCGTGATAATCGTCATCTTCCAGAGAACCATCACTGCTGTCATCCCTCTGGACGTCGTACTGATCGATCAGTTCCCGGAGCGGAGGAGCTCGGGGCAGAAGTTGTCTTATAGCATCTTTGCTGATGTTAGGAGCTGTTTCCAGGCGGAGTTTGCTGAGGATTTGGATTTTTATGGCTTCTATTCTGGAGTACCTTGTGTTTTGTCTCCACACACATGCATTGCACAGCCCCTCTTTTTCCACGTTTCCTTCTTGCTCACTGCCCTCATTTAGATCCACTGGGCCAGCAGCAATCAGCATAAACAGGTAAATATAAACATACATTTGCAGTTTTTGCATCATTTTAAAATCAGCACAATCTGTTTTTTTCCCTTGCTCTTATTTCTTCCTTTTGCTTTTGAGTAATGACAAGCAAAATCTTAGTGCATGTCCGGTGTGAGAGACAACCTGCCACGCCAGTGAGTCCTGTATACTGTATTCCAAGTGGCTTTTTATATTCCGACTTAGAGGAGACAAGTGTCGTCAGGATCTATGATTGGCTCCTGCTCCACAATGAATCTCGCTGTCAGAGGTTAAAACCCTGTCTGTCACAAGTCACCAAGCAGTATTTTGTTACAGTCCAGGGCAAGCTGATTCATTTGACTACTTCATAAATGAAATAAATCCCCATATCATGAAATATATGTGTGACATTTGATAAATTAAAGTTTGTGTAATAATATAAACTATCTTTAAGGCTTCTTAAACTTTGTGAAGCTCTTGCTGTAATTTAAATTAGTAAATTTTAATTTATCCTTCTTGTTTAAAATATAAAATGTCAATCCTGTAAGAATCGGGTGTTATTTGTTGTTAAAGCAAATATTTGATATTTAAAAATTGTATCAAGTGCTGAGTAATTAAAGAACTAAAAATTAGGAAGAGGTGATCAAATTAAAACAAAGTTAAAGGCTGTAGCCCTGGTAGAAAGTTGCATCAGTAATTTGAGAAGTTTGTTTTCATGACTTATTTGTTAGTACACATTAGAAATCAGTCTTACCATGTTACAGTGTACATGAACTTAGTTCTGACAGCTTAATGTCTTTTACTAACATGAAAACTATGCATGATTCCACCTTATTAGTATGGTTATTTTCTGTCAAAAAGATAGAGATTAAATCACAAGTGCTTCTTTACTATTTATTACCAACAGGATAATGTTAGCTAGGAGGTCGATCTCTGCACTTAGATAAGTAAATAATGGATTTTTGTAAGTGGCACTGGAGCATTAGTACAGTGTGACTCAGACATCTAGTGCTAAAAGTAAAAGTGCAATGTGCTCTCTATGAATTATGTCAGGTCCTGTGAGCATGCACACAAAGAGTAAGTGGCATGTAGAGGGTGCCCTTTGTTGTGTCCCAATACTGTCATAGGTTAGCACCCCTTTGCCAGTGGCTCGTTTTGACCAGAGGGCAGACACCTGGCAGGGATCTGGGGCAGAGAATAGTGCTTTTTGTTCTCTGAGTTTAAGCGGCCTCTATAGGGATCAAACTCTCACCCTTGGCTTTAGGAGCAATAAGATCTAATGGGGTGAACTCTTAACGAGCTGAACAAACGCAGCACCAGTAACAGAGGACTTTTCCAGGCCACAGATTTCCTCCTCCTTCCGGGGAAGCCGGGGACTCTTTAGAGTTTTAATGCATTACTCCCCTCACCCCAAGAGAATATGGTGGTTTATATCAAATATTTATTTTTAGGTCACCGCCATTCTCGCACGGTGTACACCCATTTACTGCCTCGGTGCACTAAGACACAACTCAGTAGCTTGAACAGTTAATGCATTTTCATCAAATTCTTAAGGGGCACCTACATCTCTTGAGGAAAAAAAAAGTGGCCTTCCGTAATGCACTGGATTTGCCCATCATTAAAGATTAAGGAAAACCAGACACCCTGAGCTGTTCAGATCAGCTTTGTACAAGACCACAGGCTCATAAAGCTTAATTTGTCTGGAAAATTCACTTTCGATGTAGAATTCTTCGTGGTGTTATAATTATCAAAACACAGGCTGCTATAATCTGAGTCAATCAATCCTGTTTTGTAACTCGCTTCAAACCACACTGCACTTGTGAACTCAGGCTGTGGAACCAGACAAACTGAGTTTGAATCTCAGTTTTGCCTGTTCTAACTCTATGACAAAGATGGCCAGTGTTTAATTTCCTATATCCTTAGTTTCCCCGCAGGGGTTTGAGGCATATAATGTAGCAATCAGTTGCTAACTGGGGTCCCTTTCTTAGGGTAGCTAACACGTTGGGCAGGAGCGCCTGCTCTTTGTTTCATGATCTTTACGTCACATTCTCCTCAACTGCTCCACGTTAAAGCGAGGGCTAACCATCTCACATGGTATCTCATCAGGCCCAAGAAACGAGCCCAGGCATATGTTTCAGATTATTTTCATTACCTGGAATAAAGCAAACAAATTTGTCGTTTGCCGTATAGTCAAATCTCATTATTTGTGGATTCCGTTTTTGCAATTTGTCTACTTACTAAACTTTGTTTCTAAAACCCAATGCTCTTGGTGCTTTTACAATTACTCACTGCCATTCACTGAGCAGTAAAATTCAAATAACAAGGACAGAGGATTTGGCCAGCTGCACAGTTTCCCAGCTGAGGCCACACAGAGCAGGCCTGCATCATTCATTCAGTGTTCACGCTATGAACAGCATCCATTTTTAAGCCAATTTCAGCCATGTTGTTTACTTTTCTGTGCTTTTAACTGTCCTTGCTGGCTGCTGCTTTTTGATAACAGCTTTGAAACAGTGCTGCTCTGGGGCAGCACAAGCCCAGTAGGCCATGGGGGAAAGGAGAATGAGGTCACCAGGGGTCGGCGTGGTGAGTAGTCACTGCTTAATAGTTACAGCCGTCCAGTTTGGAAGAGGAAAACCTCCAGATAGATGGAGTTGTAGAGGCTGAGCAACATTCTGCTGGACTCCACTCAACTTAGGACTTCAAAACGGCTAAAGCAGCAGCAACTTTTCTGTTATAAATTTCAACCATTTTTTTTCAGATATGCCTCATGAAAAGAAAAAGTTCCTAATGAGAAAACACACGAGTTAGACAAATTAACCAGGCCTGAGTTTGTTGCTTCTGAGGGTGACTTCAATGGTGATGGATGAATGGATGCCGCCTGTTGAGTTCGTGATGCTTTTCCACAGAAGCACACACACAAGGCAATGCATTCATCAGATGACGAACAGTCAGGACCCCACGGCTCATCGCCCCGCATGTTCTCTAGAACGGCGCAAGCATCTGAATTCAGCGTTGGCAAGGCCTTTCTAACGTCAATGGTAAACGCAGACTACAGCTCATCAAGCTTTCTGAGGCTTCGCTCACTCCTCGGTGCATGGGTGAAGAAGTATTCAGTCAGTTTCCAGAATGTCTGTTCCTTCTCTAATGGCAATGACCGCCGACTTCCCAAGACCCGGAGTCGGGGTTGGGATGGGGGATGGGAGTGGGCGTTGGGAGTTGGGTGGGGGTGTCTCCTTACTGTGGCCCTAGAGTGGAGGGGCTGCTCTCACAATGGAGACAGGGCAGTGTAACATCGGGATTAGTAAAGAGAAGACTTTCTTCCACTTGCCCAGGACAACTTGGTCTTCTAGCTTGTTGACTTTGTCTTAGTCAGTACCTCTGAAAGCAGTTTCTAAGGATGGCCAGATCGTAGGAGAAAGGCATGCTTCCGGGACTTGCACTTGTCTTTGTGCTGGTGGCTTTTGTGAGCCTCTTAACTTTCTATGCTTATCATAAAGCAGCAAGCATGCTCCTCTGACGTTTAGTTCAAACCCCACAGATGGCCGAACAACACACTGGAGTGTATATAATATTTACCAAAAAAAAACAAAAAACAAAAACAAAAAAAAAAAGATTTTACTCTTTCCAGATTCTAGGAACTACTAACCTTCAAGAACTTTCAAAAAATAGAGGAAGAGGCAGATAGGAATTTGGAGAAGGGTGGTTTGTGAAAAATGCAACTGTCTTGGGAAAACACACATGTTGTATTTTATCTGGTGGCTTGCCATTTCCTTCAGGTAATGTTTAGTAGTATACAGTGAGAAAAAAACACCTACAGGGTGCTCAAACCTGCCACATCATGAGAAAGAGGGACCCCACACCAAGGACGTCTGACTGCCAGTGTTTTTTATAGGTTAAAGACAAAAATTCAGAGAGTCTGGGAAACAGAAACTTCATTTAGTGGCTGATCGAAGAAGAGGCACACTCCCACGGCTAAGCACTGAGCTGAACTCAAGAAAGCCAGTAACAGAGAGGGAGGACTGATGACCAAAGGGACTAAGACTGGGCTGGTTTAACCCCCAGAAACAGTTGACCTGACCAGGGTTAACTCTTGAATCCTAGGCTGATGCCTGGGAATCCAGCATGGGACTGATCAAGACCCCCTGAATGTGGGTGTCAGTAAGGAAGCCTAGGTAATCTATTGCGCCTTGGGCAGTAGATCAGTACCCATCCCGAGTATACACACGGATTTTGGACTCCCATCCAACAATGTGAGATGCACTCTCACCTCGAACTCTTGGGGGAGGGTCTAGGCCCTGCCCTGGATGAAATGACAGACTGTGGACACCCCCATGGAGGGCCTCACCCTCCCTGGGGAAATGAGGGGATATTGGGGGGTTGGGGGGCGGGCACAGGAGGAGGGGAGGGAAATGGAGAGGGACCTGGAACTGACTTGTGAAGCAACCTTGTTTCTAATCTAAATTTAAACTTAAAAATAAATAATAAAAAAAGACAAAAGTTAACTGCAAGTGCAGTTGAACTCAGTCGTTCAAAGTGCAGTAATGGAAGACAGGAGACAGTAACATCGCTGTGGGTTTGCAACTGGTGCTTCGTACTCTCGAATAAGTCGATTAACAGCCTTTGTTTATGAATACACCCTCTGAATGCATGAATTTATGATTTATGGAATATTGGAAAGCCTTCTGTGTCCTTGGTGCTAACGTTTGATTATGAAGATAAAATACTGAGCCAAATTCAATCACTTTTCATGAACTCCGTGGTATAGTTTCTTCATATAAAATGTGACTAGGTGTGCATGCCATTTCAAGTGAGATTTATCCCCTAAGTTAGTGATCCTTAAAATTTCTTTCTCACAGTGTCTTTGTAATCCTGAAGTTATTAAGGTTCCCACAAATCTTTTGTATATGTAGATCATATTGATCAATATTTTGTAATTCAAAACTTGAAATTTATAGCTTAGAGGCACAAGCAGACATATAATGAATCTGCTGACAGATTTTTTCTAATATTCATTTATGATTATTTTTATGCATGTGCGTTTGTACATATGTGTGTATGAGAGAGAAAATGAGAGATAGAGAGAGTGGGAGAGAGCGAGAAAGAGAGAAAGGGAGAGAGAGAACTGAACCTAGATATTTTGATCTTAATCGCTGTTCCATCTGTGTAACCCCCAGATTTTTTCCTACTGTTGTGTATTAGTTGTACAAAGTAATGAGTTTCATGATAATTTCCTATGTCCATAAACGTTAGTCTCATTTAATCGTCTACAGTCTTTTCATGACTTATTTCCTCCTCTTCTTCCACACCTCTGAAGTCCATTTTCCACCTTATGAACAACGCTATCTTGAGACACAGATCCTCTAGAAAACTCCACTGTACACAGAAGAAATAATGGCAGGGAAGGAAAAGGAGACGTTAGAATCTTTGTGAATGTTGTTTTTAACTTCACAGACTCACGGACTCTTTAGAAATATTCTGGAACCATCCTAGAGCTCTCTAAACTACACTAGAGCACAGATCCTAGAGTAGTTGGTTTATGCTGCTAAAATTGAATGCTTTCCTGCCAATAACCCCTCCTCCCAGAATCTTTGGCTTTCCATTTATTATCAACTGTAGTTCTTTTTAGACATATCTACTTAATAGTACGTAATTGTTTTCAACAGCTGAAACATAAATGCTGTGGTGTTAATTACAACTAACTCTGGTGGAAAGAATGTAGTTTTTAAGGATTTCCTGCAGATGGTCTGTGGGTTGTTCCTGATGTGAGAGCATTTGTATTGTGGAAAGGGGACTTTAGAGCTGGCCAGGAGGATAAGGGACTGGAATGAAGGTCAGAAAGGGTGAGTGCGGCTGTGTGTGTGTGTGTGTGTGAGAGAGAGAGAGAGAGAGAGAGAGAGAGAGAGAGAGAGAGAGAGAGAGAGAGAGAGAGAGAGAGAGATTGAGAGAGAGAGAGAGAGAGATTGAGAGATTGTTGGACTAAAAACCATTACTTTGTAAACCAATATGCACTAGTAAGAAAAGAATCCTACTGTGTAGTGCTTCATAACAGAGATCCAAATTCATTTCTTTTGTCACTAATATTGAGCCAACTGCCTCTTATATTATACATTTCAATTTGTTTCTTCCTTTGCTTGTTCTTGTTTCCCAAGCAAACTTGGAGCTCACTAACGGGAGGGGCTTTGCTCTTGTTTAGTCTAGAACCTGGCATATAATTAAACGGAAAACATGGTATTTATTCACTAATGAACTAGTGGATGAGCAAATGTCTTCTTAAATAGTAGAGGATTCTGGACTTTCCAAGTGATGTCTACTGTAGTCATAGTTTTCTTAACTGTGATTCTTGTGTCTACTCTATTACTGTATCTCTACTCCAGTCACCCTGCTGGCAGTGGCTTCTTTAAGACGGCCCCTCCCGTTTCCCAAAGCTTATTCTCCCTTCCCCTCTCCTTTCCCTTTTGTTCTCCAGCAAATTCTGTAAGCAGTTTCTTCACATGGTGATCTTTAGGTGCATCCTAGGTTATCTGCATAGCCACCTCATGTCTGGTACTCCAGGGTCTAACTTTCTACAGTGTCTATAGAGTCAATGCTCACACGAGAGGTTGGCATCCAGTACCATCTAATGCCATAGAGGGTGACTTTAACACAGCAGTCATGATTCCCTTCTCTTTCCACCTTTAAAAAAATCTGCATTTCTCAATATTAGGAGGATTCTTCAAGTAATATTTCTTTTTTTAAGACAGGGTCTCATTTTTTTCCAGATCATATTGGAAGAGACTGGATTAGACTGGAACACCTTCTGCCTTCACTGCCCCAGTGTTTGAATCTCAGACATGTGACACCACAACCAGCTTCCAAAGACTGTTTTAATTCTGTCAAAAGTCACTGAAGTCCTTTGCCCTAAGGTCATGGTTTGGGGATGACTAAAGTCTATGGCTTGTTTATTTAGCCCTTTTTACTGGAATTAAAATTTGTGTTTCTGTTGATGACCACACTGTTCCCCACTTCCATGAATTAAGAACCCTTAAATGTTTGCTTGGAGCTGTAAATTTTCTGCCAGAAAAGGAATGAAGTGAAACTTCAAAAGTCTCCAAATGAAAAACTGGGTGTACTTAGTCGGTTTTCATTGTATCTGATGACTCCTTTCCCCCTGATGTCCTAGTTCACTTCAGAACAAGCACCTCGCCTGCAGAGCAAATGACAAAGGTGGAATTGGCAAAAACTGGCTTTAGTTTTCCTATCTTGGCCCTGACCATTATTACAGGTTAACTCTTAAGGATGCTTCCAAGTCTCAAAGTTTTGTTTTTAGGAACATTGGGTCCTATTGACTAAATTGCAGAATACATTTCTGCAAATAAATGTTTTAAAATAATATTTTTATTTTGACAGTTAGGACATAATTACATTATTTCCCCCCTCTGTTTACTCCTTCCAACTCCTCCCATGTACCTCCTCTTGCTCCTTCTTTCTCGAATTCAAACCAAACACTTCTTTATGTTAAAATTTTTAATTTTTCTAGAATTAGTGAGGTCAATGCTTGTTTCCCAGGCTAATGATGGGATGGTATGTGTTCCTAGACCCAGATCATTGCTCTGGCTTGACAGTTGAAGACCCGGTGACTTTCTGTGGTAATCAGAAAAAGGGTTATAGTATCAACTGACCAGTGCTTTGGAAGCCTGTTTGAGTCAGTCTTGTATTATAGAATATCACCATTAGCCCGTTTTTCAATATTTCCAATTATATTTATTACATTTTTAACTTTAAAATTATTGAACCTGTCATTTCAGTAATTTTAACATGAAAGAGTTATCTTTGATTTTCTAATTTGTCTTAAAATAGAATACTAAATTAAGGTAAATCTTCACTGTCATATAGATTTCACATGGACATTCTGCCCTCTGCTGGGAACTCTGAGAACTGCAGCAAGTGTTCTGTCTGAAGGCATGACAAAATTTAACACACAGCACTTAGTAAATGAAATCTTTAACTAAGTCACCACAGTAGCTAACTAACTCTACAGTAAATTTGGATATCTTCACACAATTCATGAACTTAAATTTCCAGTACTATAAAAATGTGTCCTTCAAAGGTTTAAGTATGCATAAATCTATGTGTTTTTTTATTAAAATTCATAAGTCAGAAGGAGAAACAGGGGGCAGTCAAATACTTGATACTTGATAAAGAATTGCATGGCAAATACTTAGCATAATTTAATCTCATCAAATACTTATTAACTCTCACTGTTTGTTGTGTGTAAGCCTTGAATATATTTATATAAAATATTGTCCTAACCTCAGAATAGGCCAGGTACCTGCAGTCAGAAATTATGGTCTGGAGTTGAGACTGAAAACTGGATTATAAAGCCTCCCAACTCAAAACCTGTGAATAAATCAAGACCTTTGTCCCGGCAGTCTCTTAAAGCTCCCGGACTCAGTACAAAGCAGTTCCATGCCTTAAGTTTTATACCTGCAAAGTGGAAATATCAGCGAGGCTGTGAGGCCTTAATGAGATGATAATGAAGAATTTGGCGTGGAGTGGAGTCTTCACAAACATTAAATATCACAGTTTCAATGTATAATAATAATAGCAGTAGGCATTAGCACCCCGTTGTTAATATCCATCTCTATTATGAATCTTTACAACATTGAAGATTTAATAAGTTCAATTTCGGGGGAGTGAATGATTGGTGTGATGTACAAAAGAGGGTAATATCAAACAAGATGGCCAGAAAAGTAGAAAGAAAAGTGGGAAAGTCACGTGAGATAAATTGTTAACAGAAAGAAAACCAAGGTCATGGCATTAGTCACAGACGGAATTGAACTTGAGACAAATGATATAAAGCCAGATGGAGAAAGAAATATTTTAATCATAAGAGCAAACAATCTACAGGGAATATATGCTTCTCTAATACTGTCAGAATTTCATGTCAAAATAAAAATAAGAACTGCTAAACTACAAGTAAAAATTATAGCAAATAAAATGCTAATGACAGAGGAATTCTCTTCAGACATTAACAAGGATAAAGTGTATTTGACCAATGAAGTCGGTGAGGTTGATGAGCCCTAGACCCTTGTTATGAAGAAGAAACCCTGTTGATAGAGGCCCATGAGGTATTCAACAAAGTCGGTTCAATATTGACTTATAAAAGCCCCCTTGGTGGATGCACAGATTAGAAGTCTGTCTCCAAACACAGCCTGGTGGTGTAAAAGTGAATGATCAAAGTAGAAATCAATATTACTTCTACTACTTGAAAATGTGAGACCTTTGCTACAGCGAGAGACACAGCTGATCCTACAACATGTGAAAGAATAGTTTAACTTCCACACACAGAAACACGCAGAACAAGTGCCATTGTGTTCAGCAAACAGCTTAGCTTCCAATGTGTGTCCAGAGAAGGTAGTATGAAAGTCATCTAATATTTACCTAAAAATGGTAGAAAATGGCTACAAACAAAGTTTAGCTCACAAGCTAACCTTAAAACAGCAGAGAGAAGCAAGGCATTGGTGGCGCACGCTTTAATCCCAGCACTCCTAAGGCAGAGGCAGGCAGATCTCTGTGAGTTCGAGGCCAGCCTGGTCTACAGAACGAGTTCCAGGACAGCCTCCAAAACAATACAGAGAAACCCTGTCTCGAAAAAAAAAAAAAACAGCAGAGAGCAGAGAGATACAATTATCAATTAAGTCAGACAGAGAAGGAATGGACTTCAGAAGGGAAATCTGTGCTGTTTCTCACAGAAGAAAACTTAATTAACTGCTACAAAAAAGGAAAAAGATTCTTAATTAGGAAAGAGAAATTATGAAGACACTGTGAAAAAAGTTTTAAAATGTGAAAGTATGAAAATTTGAAATTAATGCATGTGAGTTTTCTAGAAAAGACACATCAAAGGGAATAATGGAATCTCTCCTACAAACTACCTTCTAATACTGATTGTTCCAAAGACCCCCTAGGACAGACAGCGTCTGGGGGGCAGGATGGTGGCACACACTGCACTCCCACCACTTAGAAGGTGAAAGCAGGAGCATCTGGAGTTCAGGTCCATCCTCCACTGCACAGGAAGTTGGAGGTGAACCTGGGCTACAGGAGACTCTGACTATAAATGCAAACAGAATGGACCAAGCAGGAATGAACTCCAGTGTAAAGACAAATGCGGTGTGAGATTTTTATGTCAGTGCACATTAGAAGCTGTGTTTTTCCCCGTGGACACAATAAAAACTACCTAGAAGCCACTGCTTCAGAGCGAAAAGAAATTGAAAGAGGTTCAGTTGTCTAGCACAGGTCCTGTGTGGCAGAATGCAGATCAAACCAGTCCTTACTTGTTTTAAATGTTCCATCTTTTGCATCACTGGTATCATTTTCTTACCACTGGTCTTTTGAGCATCATGAGTCTGGAAACTTATTTTTCCCCAAAATGAGAAAGCCACTAACGTCACTTCATGCCTGTTAGCACCAGTACCAGCATTAATCTTTCAGGCATCTTGCTACCTTCAAGCTTCTGCAGGGTGTTACTGTTACTGTTGCTGTCTGTTCATTTCCTCTGCCAGATAAAGAATTAAAAGTCGCCGAGCAGTGGTGGCGCAGGCCTTTAATCTCAGCACTTCTGAGGCAGAGGCAGGCGGATCTCTGTGAGTTCAAGACCAGCCTACACAGCCACAGAGAAACCCTGTCTTGAAAAAACAAAACAACAACAACAACAAAAAAGAATTAAAAGTCAGGAAAAATAAATCTCAAGAACTGCAGTTAGCAGCTGACATTTCATGACCACAGCAAAGTCGCAGGCCTTTATTAGGAAAGAGAAGACACACACACACACACACACACACACACACACACACACACACACACACACACACCAGACACCCACAGAGAGAAAAGGCCCTCCACAACCCTTGGAGGCTTGGGAAATTGAAGCTCACAGTCTCCTCAAAGGCTGAAGAGTCTTAAAACCCCTAACTTGAGTTAGTCAGTTTGAACAAAGATAGGATGGCTGATTGGCCCACAGCTGTGTGCAAATATGTCCCCATTGGCCTTGAGCTTATTGAGCCACTGAGAAAGAGCCCAGGAGGTGTAACATGAAAAATAAAAGATCCAGAGATTGATATCTTTCTCTGTCTAAGACTGAAAGGCAATCCCGGCTCTACCAGACCTCAGACTGCAATCCCAGACTGCTATGCTCTCCTCTACATGGCTGGAGATTCCTGACACTAACTACTGAAGTCTCTGCTCCTGTCTTAAATAGCTCTCTAGTGCTGGGATTAAAGGCATGAGCTCTGTTACTCTTTTAGACTGATTCAATCTCATGTAGCCCTGGGGTGGCCTTGAACTCAGAGGTCCATCTACTTCTTAAACCTGAGTCCTGGGATTAAAGGTGTGTACCACCACTGCCTGATCTCTATAGCTTGGGACTGACTTTGCTTTCTGAATCTTCAGGCAAGCTTTAATAAATCATTAATAATATATCACCACAATTCCCCTTTTTTGTTGATACAAAAAGAAAAGTTAACATAAGAAAAGCTATATACAATAAGTACAAGTATATACAGTATATACAGGCAATAAGTCCATCAACAATGTCTAGTCCAGCATTTGACAAATTCAGAGAAAAATATCTAGCCCATTTGCATTTGACAAATTCAGAAAAAATACCTCATTATGTATTCAATCTTAGTCCTCGTCACCATTGTGTTAAGGGAAACCTTTTCCTTGAGAGAAGCTTTCCCGCCAGCCTGGTTCTAGAGCCACATCAGTCCCAAATAAACACACAGGAGGCTATATTAGTTATGAAGCTGTTATGGCCTTGCTTGTCTCTTACTGGCTACCTCTGCTTTAAGTAATTACCTCATAATTGTTAATCTAAGTATTTCTCTTACCGGAGAATAGTTCCGGGCTCCTACCCCATGGCGTTACATGTTGACTCTCCTGTGTTTCTCCTTCCCAGAATCCTCCTGGACTCCTAGTCCCACCTATCTAGATTCCTATTGGCTCAACAGTGCTTTATTGACAAAGGACTTCCCCAACACAAAGTATTGTATCTAATTCACTTTCTATTCTAATTTACATTATCAAAATACCTTTCAATGTCTCTCAAGCTTTTTTTTATAATTTAGTTATCTTTAGTAAATTTCTTTTCTGAGTCTGGTAAACAATGAAATTTATAACTATAGTTATCTAGTCTTCAACTCCCCCAGAGAAGGAAATAATATTAACGGAGTAAACAGGAAGTTCAAGCAAGTGGCTTCCAAAAATTGTGAGAAATAATAAAAGCAGATGGGTACCTAGATAGTCACCCAAGGTTCCTCTGCAACATTGGGGCATCTATCTTTGGCCTATAGGCCTAGCATCTCTGAAGTTTGAAGGACTGTCTTGCCATGTCTTGGCAAGGATAGTCAGTGTCTTTGGTGTCCTGTTTGTCCATTTTGGACAGCATTCCATCAGCAGTCAAGGCAAGGGTACTTTCTTGTCTAGTGGCTTACTTTTGCCACAAAGAATGTAAACTCCATATGAGTTTCTTCGATGCCCATCATCTTCTCTGAAGTAGATTGGTGCTTCCAGGAGTAGACATGTCTCATTGTCATAAAAAAAATGGACCTCTGTTATTAAAATATTTTAGATGTCATATTCTGTAGATCTCTCAAATGTTTGAAGATGACCTATAAAATATATCTCTGTTTGACTTTGAAGACATACCTAATGTGATTACAAGTTCAATTACAAATTACCTGTATTTATTATCTTATATAGCTGGTAATAAAGACTTTCAAGAACTAGAAGTTTGTATTACCTTGCTAAATGAGCTGTATAGGTATAATACCTTGAATAATATTATATATGCATATATATGTGAGTGTGTACAATATGTCTTAACAAATTAATCTCAAATTTGTATCAATATTCAATATTTGCATACAATATATGCAGAAGTCCAATCCAATATAAAATATTTAAAACTGGTAGTTGCTTTTTAAAAGTAGATTCAATAGCCTACCTTTTTAATCCTATATCTGTATCCCCTTTTTTTTCTTCAAAACAAAAACCTGGAAACCCTTTCTTCAACTTTCTTCCTGACTACTGTAATCAACAGCATTTTGTAACCAATCTCCCTAAACAATGATAAATATCCATAACACAATGAGTGACCAAAAAACACCCACTCAACCTCTTGGGAATGTAGTCATCCTGTTTTTAAAGTTACTTCTTGTTATCTGTGGGGTGTGGGCGGGCAATGGCATCTTTAGGGTTTCCTGAAAAGACAAATTGGATTAACTGTCAAGCTGCATCAATTTTGCTCAGTCTCTGCATAATAGGAAAATGCAGGGCTTATCTCAAGTTCTATATGACCATTAATATCATGACAAAAACTTTAAAATATATATATTAATCTTATAATTTTATATAAATATATTTATGCTTTAAGAAAAGCTGTTAAAAATTGACATAAAAGCCACAGAGAAACACTGTCTCAAAAAAAAAGTCAATATAAAAACCAAAGGATTCAAGAGTTAACCTTTGTCTGGTCAGCTGTTTCTGGGGGTTAAACCAGCCCAGTCTTAATCTCTTTGATCATCAGCCTGGGAATCCAGCATGGGACTGATCAAGACCCTCTGAATCTGGGTGTCAGTGAGGAGGCCTAGGTAATCAATTGAGCCTTGGGCAGCAGATCAGTACCCATCCCAAGTATACACACGGACTTTAGACTCCCATAGAACAATGTGAGGTGCACTCTCACCCTGAACTCTTGGGGAAGGGTCTAGGCCCTGCCCTATATGAAATGACAGACTATGGACACCCCCATGGAGGGCCTCACCCTCCCTGGGGGAATGAGGGGATAACGGGGGGGGAGGGCACGGGAGGAGGGGAGGGAAAGGGAGAGGGACCTGGAACTGACTTGTGAAGCAACCTTGTTTCTTATCTAAATTTAAACTGGAAAATAAAAATAATAATAATAAAAGTAAATAAAAAACCAAAGGATTAAGGGATTGGTGGTAATATATTAGCCCTTAAATATTTGTTTTTCTTCTCTTCCATATCAGGTGGCTCTTCTGGCATGAAACAGAGATTTCTGGTTTTCTTTAACAAGCATGCTTGGGTATAGAGAAGGAGAAAGCCACCCTCCAACTCCAAAGCCAGCTTTTATCTTTAATTGGACCAGGACTAGAAAAGAACCATTTGCATTATTTGTCTGTAGAGAAAAGCAGAGACAAACATATTGGAAGGTTTTTGGAATTTTATCCTTTTGGAAATATGATGTTCCAATAGATCAATTTACTCCTTAGGATTATCTGTCCCTTTTCTTCAGATATCTCAATTGTCCAGTGGTCTTTGGATTCTTTCGATGGATACCTTTATTCTCCTGAAAAGACAGAAATAAAACCCTAAATTTTGGGGAGGTTCTCCTTTGGCAACTTATATCTGATCAAATGAAAAACATGTGTTAGTTTTATAGGTTAGTTTAGATTAAACAGCCATGCTGCTTGATGAACTATACCTCAGTTCAGACCAAAGAGGTGACCCTCAAACTGCTCCAACGTCACTGCTCCTCAGACTGTTGTGCTCTCTTCAACATAGCTAGAGACTAATTCTCAGACTGAATGCCTTTCCATCCTCAATGTGGCTGGTGAATGAATCCCATCTCTGTTCCTGTCCTACATACCTCTCATGAGTCCTGGGATTGAAGATATATACCACCATGGCCTGATCTCTAGAGCTTGAGGCTGACTTTGCTTTCTGAATCCTCAAGCAAGCTTTAATAAATCATAAATATCATAACACCACAAGGAGGCCTTTGTTTTAGGTTGCCAAGTTTTGGCTCAGGTGAGGAGGGTGAGCAAGAAGCCAGACATATTGGAAGGCCGTCACCTCAGCTGAGCACCCATTGCCCCTCTCCTGATCTGTCTGTCTATCAGGGAGTCGAACTTCTAGTCCCTCTACTGCTACACATTTCAGACTGGTTCCTAGCCTACTGTTCTCTGCTAGTGGCAGGCTTGTTTTCTGACATGAATTTGCAAACTACTTAAGTAAGAACAGTAAGAAACTTTGATGCAAGAAAACTGTAATGAAGATTATAGAAGCAAAGATTTAAAACATATTATTGTCTTGTCAGGGACCAAAGAGGTTGGAAAAGTACTGATTATTACTCAAAATGTGGCTTCCCAAGAGTGAAGGTTATTCTCTGAAACAAAAGAAAAGAGTTTGGTCCATAAAGGTGACCCTTGTAGAGCCAGCAATGGGAACTGCTGCTACTGTGCCCTCTGAGGCTGCACATGTCCAACTCTTGGAGTCAGTGTCGCAGTCTCTCACAAAAACCCAGCATGAGATACTGTGTGCACCATTCAAAAGCCCCTTAATCCTCTCCAACTTCAATGACACTCAGAATCCTCCCGTGAATTTTAAATTTCATACACTCATAGTTCTCCTATTTTGTTTATTGAAACCTGCTCTCTGAAACAATTAGAAAAGGTAGTGAATTAAAATTCAAATAAAAACCAAATTAAAGAACAAACACCAGTAAGGAAAATTTATAGCAAAGCTAGCTACTATAACACCACTGCTAAGATCTGGTGTTGAGAGCAAAAAGGAATGTTGATTTCAAATTTTAAATCTTAACAACTAGATCTCTGCAGCATTTAAGGAGCTACATAATTAGCAAGATTACTCATTCTAGTTATGCAAATATGGTTCTGAATCATAATCTATTAATATCTAATAACATATTAAGAGATGAATGGGAAGAAGGAACATTAATAAATCCTTAATGAATTTCTATGATACATTTGGCATAATTTAAATAGGAGTTCTCTAATTAGCCCTGTTTGTTATTTTTAAAAGCCTTTCATAAACATGAGTAATGCTTTCTTGAAGTGGTAGACCACCATTGTGTTTAATGATGTAGCTAGAATAGGCATCTTGAGAAATTCAGAAGGATGCTAAGAATATCCTCAGTCAAAATTAATATTTATGTCTATGGAAGTTTTAGTAAGAACTATATAAATAGTGAAATAAGAGGCAGAAATATAGGAAAATAAAAGGCAACTTTGTTTTCTGTGCAAAAGGTGTAATTTTAGGCCTTACCAGAAAGAATCTACTATAGAAGGGCATAAAACAAAGCAAGATGGTCTGTTACAAAATCAATGCACTCTGAAATGACTTTATTTTCGTAAAACGTGATTAACTAGGAAATACAATGAAGAAAAAAAAACTAAATGAAACCTGATCAACCATTCAAGGAGTTCATCTAGGAAGCTCCAAAGCTGCCTAGGGTTAAACTCACAATAACCACGGAGTGCCTTTGCTCTCCCTGAGCCCACATACATCCATGCATGTGGCCAGGACACCTGCAGCTTTGTAATCAAAGGATCCTATGTTCAATGGGGAAAAGAATTGCTTCTCCTTGTAAAGAGAGCTTTGCTTTGTTTTATTTTTGACAAAGGCTAGCCTTTAATTCATGTTCCACATGCCTCCTCCTATTTCGTGCTAGCATTAAAGGTATGCTCTGGATTTGAAGAAAATATGAAAGTTCAATACAATTTTCTTGTTAGGAAGACTCGATATTGTAGAAGGCCATCCTCTTTATTCTATAAATGCAAAGTAGTCTTCAGCTAAAATATTAATAGTTTTAAAGATTTTTATACTTCCTACCAATAGATTCTTTTAAAAATAATAGATATTTCACACTAAGTAAATATTAATAAGTAAATTAGTATTAATTAATATTAAAATTCTTAAAAGATATTATAATTTAAAACAGCATAATACTGGCAGGAAAATGAAGGAGAGAGAGACCCAAACATGTAATACACAAATGATAAATGTGTAATTTAAAGTTAATTCATTAACAATAAATGGAACAAGGACAGAGAAATGGCCCAGTGGAGTTCTGGCCTATAGGCTATGAACTTATCATGATTTTGTATTTCCCCAAAATCTAAGCTGGGCATAGTGCCTCACATTTGTCGTCCCTGCACGTGAGAGGCAAAAGAAGGAGAATCAGGAGTTTAATGTCATCTTGAGTTGTGTAGCAAGTTAAAGGCCAGCTAAGGCTATATGAGACCTGGTCTCAAAAAACCAAAAAGCAGAAGTTTTAATATTGAAAAATGAAATCATAGTGGAAGAAATTGTGAATAGATGTAAGTTTTGGAATGTTAGACAATGTGAGCATGTATATGCTTATAATTTGACGTTTTCTTTGCCATGATTTCAATGACTACACAGCAAATGGTACAGCACTTGAAAAACTTTTGGATTCCATTGTTGGTTTTGCATTGCAATCCTGTAGATGTCACTAAGTCTAGTAAGTTTAAGGTCTACATACTATCACTTACTTTCTATCAATTCAACCTATTCATACAAGAGAGATGCTAGAGTTTCCCGTCACAATAATGAAAACTGCTTTCTTTTCCAATTCTGACAGATTTGACTTCATCTATTTCTATGCTCTACACTTTATCATTCCATTCCACAGCATGCACATCTGTAATGGTAGTGCTTCCATGGCTGTGCGTTTCACTGAATGTCTGAGCAGACAACTTGCTGAGAATTATTCAGTTTGCCTTACGGTTTTAGGGAGAATGTAGGCAAATTCACATCTTAGCAGGCAGGTATCAGAGAGATGGGATTCATGGAGGAAGTAGGCCAAGAGATGGATAGCCTGTGACATGCCCCCTTGTGACTCACTTCCTCCACCTAAGCCCCATCCCGCCTTTTCACCACATTGGAATAGTGCCAAGATGTTATGAGTCCATCAGAGGATTGGTGCGTTCATTAGGTCAAAGCCTTCATGGTCTAGTTATCTCTGGAAATGCCATCACAAGCCACTCCATGAGATACACATCTCAGTCTAATTATGTTGAAAAGATTAACCATTACAAAGTGAATCAAATTAACTCTTCAGCCTTGTGAGGTGACCCTCTTTGTCACTTCATTTGGAAATCTGCCTCATTTGGTATTAAAATTTTTATTTTGTATGTATATGCTTTTTGCCTGCATGCATGTCTACAGAGTGCCCAGGAGAGCACTGGGTCCTCCCAGAACTGTGAGTGATGGGAACCCATGCAGGTTCTCCAAAAAAGCAGCCAGTGTCCTAACCCCTGAGCATCTCCCCTCCCCCACCGCAACTGATATTAATATACCCTCTCCAGCTTCCTTCAAATTTATGTTTGTATGTCTTTCCCATCCATTATATACAACCTATCTATGTCTTTATTTTCAAATAGTTGGAGACTGCGTTTTTACTAAGCTTGTACATTCTGCCTTTTAACTGGTGTGTTTAGACTATTAAATATAATGTGATTATTAACACAATTTAAGTCTAATGCATTAACATTTGTCATGCATTTCTTCCATCTGTTCTTTCATTTTTCTTCTTATATCTTTTTTTGTGTTAGACATCATTTCATTTTATATCAATTACTGATTTATTCATTATGCATGATTGTTTTTGTTTATGTGGCTGTTGTTCTAGAGTTTAATATATAAAACTGTCACTAACTACATCTACAATTTAAAACACTGAAGCAATGCATTTCTCTGTCTTCGTTCCCATGCTCTGTATTTTACCTCTACCCTTTAAAACCATCTAACCTGTTACCATTTCAGCTCAAACAATTTTCTATTAGAAATCATTCACAGTTACAAATCTTTATAACTTTCCACGTTCTTCGCTGTCTTATGTAATCAGTATCTCTCAACCTCAGTACTGAAGACGGGAAAAATGTCTCAGTGGTTATAAGTGCAATCTGCTCTGGGCAATGGGTAACGTACATCTTTAATCCCAGCACTCAGGAAGCAGAGGCAGTTGGATCTCTGTGAGTTTAAGGCCAGCCTGGTCTAAGAGTGGGTTTCAGGACAGCCAGGGCTGTTACACAAAGAAATCTGTCTCAAAAAAGAAAAAAAGTGCATCCTGCTCCTGTAGAAGAGGCAAGTAGACTTCCTAGCCCCACACTGGGGAATTCACCACCACCTGTAACTCCAGATCCAGAGCATCCAAGACCCTCTTCTGGCTCCATGGATACTGAATTCACATGCCCAACCCCACACACAGACACACGTGTACAACTGCTGGCCAAGCAAAACTCCCTGAAAACCTCTTCAAACATTGCAAAATGTTCTCTAGGAAGTAAATGGTCCCTAGTTGAGGATAACAGTCCCGTAGGCCTGAAGAGTTTCCTTTAGTATTTCCTTTACTTTAGGTCACCACCTCCATCAACCCCTCCTTCTTCCTCTAGCGCTAGAGATTGAGCCAAAGGCCTCATCTATGCTAAGCAAGTACTTTTTCTTATTTTCCAGATTTTTGTTATGATATACTCTATAGAGTATTGATCCTTTTGTGTTTGGGGATTTATTGAGTTTTCTAGA